GTCCAAACAGGTACACAGCAACAGAATTCCAAATTACGAAAACTTATAAAGCTCAATTCAAAATGGATGAAGAGAGATTGCGAGGTCAAAAAACCATGTGGCTCCACTCTCCTCTCGCCCAACTTCCTGTTTTTTCTGCACTATCAAAATAAAAGCATACATTTCAAATTAAACTGCATGTAGGCTTCTACAACAGCCTTTAAACATATATAATAATTGTAAAAAATAAAGCTGACTACTTGGATTTTACCTGTCACAGGTTATTTTTAGAACGTAACTCCTGCGATAAACAAGGAGTATGTATCACACACATATTCCTTTCTATCAAAGGTACACACCAGTGTGCACAATCAGAGCCATAGCACCACATGCTAATGTTTATTCACCATGAGCCTGGCAGTGGGCCCATTTTACAAGTGCTCAGTTTGTGCTAGAAACAAAAACTCCCTGTGGCCTGTATTATACTCTTGTATGAGTTTCATTGAAACTCAAGTTTCAATGAAGAATCTCACCTTATGATGTTGGTGCAGTCGTACGCGCCGCCTATACCAACTTCAATCACAGCTAAATCCACCTGAGCAAAGACAAGAGCTGTTTAGATCCAAAGAAAACACCAGGAGTAAATCTGAGCTTTAAACTTCACTGACAAAGGAAACTGCACAGGTGTCTGTATTTAAGGCACATTAATACCACTTAAGTGAGGAATAATTTTTTTTAAGTGTGTTTATTGGCTGTCTCTGGAGTTACCTTCTCTTGGAGGAAGACATGGAAGGCCAAGATGGTGAGGAAGCGGAAATATGCCGGCATCGTCCCTCCGTGGGCATCCTGAGGGGATCGAAGAGAGAAAGACAGACTGCCTGATTACAGCCAAAAGATAAAATAATGAACTTTCTGATCCATAATTCTAATCTTCAAGTCAAGCCAAGAAAGCCTTTGTCACATGCAAGTTGCCCTGCAGCGAAATGGGACCCCACCTCGACCGACCTTATATACACAGCACAGACATCACATGGGGAGACAGGTCGTATTATGGAAAATCTTGGCTATTTAATGCAGTTATTGCACAGAACTAGAGCTGGGCGATAGAACGATAACGATATGTATCGCGATATAACTTTTACTCGATAGAGAAATTAAACTATCGCGATAGACCTTGCCGCTCTTGTCCTCTTAAAAAAAAAAAGGAAAAAAAAG